AGGCCAATTGAAAATATTTTTACTACACAGTTGTTTATTAAAAACTCACACGTACCTTGACAGTGACATGAAGTTGTTCTGTTACGTGAACAGCATTTTCGGGAATGATAACCTTGACTAAGGGATAGTCGGGCAAGGAAAGGCTTGCTGACGCAGAAGTAACGGTGAACTGGTAAGACTTGAGGCGACAAATTACCACAAATGTGAAGCACTGAGTAATCTTAGTCTCAGCAACAGGAAGGAGATAGTCAGGAAAATTACTGCCATAAGCTTCCTCGAGGTCTGACATAAAAAATATGTAGAATTGCAATTAATGTCGCCACAAATATCACCGTAGAGATATCTGAATCTTTAAAACCAAACATGAACCTTTAACTGTCCTAAGAAACAACAGTATCTTGAAGGTCGCACAGATATGAAATTCGAAGATCGTCACTAGTAGTCCGTCTCTATTTTTCGCCATCTGATGACTTTCGGATTTTCGAATTTTTATTCACCTGGGTGGTGTTAAAACACCCCGTTCTGTCTATCTAAACATAAAATGTGCTGTATTAAAAATTCTGAAATATTTCAGTAATTCCTTTGTTATAGCAAAGAATAGTTAAACACGGTTGAAAAGGTGCCGAAAAAGAATTAGATTAAAAACTTTAGATGGATCGTAAACACCAAATTGCAGAAAATATTGCCTGCTTCTCTTCTTAAGTTAGTTTTCTTACATGCATTGTTACAGAAGGGCGGCCTTTACCTGACAGGGATCGAAAATCAACTGTTTTATCGACGTCCACCCACTCATTCGTGTCCTTGTCAATCAACTTTTTCACTACCACCTCATATCCCTTAAGGTCAGACGCACTATGAGAAATGGCCAAAGTGACCTCCTTATTGAATGCAAGTCCTTCAGACATGCCAGCTGATAGTTCAACCACATCGCTAACAATGGCTTCATTTTCTTGGAGAGGAGGGCAACAAGCTGAAGGCTTCCATCTATGAAGGGCCATCAGCCTGTCCTCACACACAGCATCAGGAGGAAATATCACGTGTGCCGCCACCTTTTTAAGCTCCCAGTGGTTGCCTCGTTTCGTCACAGTGTCTCTAACAAAACAAAACAAAACAAAAAATGGTGATACTGAATTCGTGTTTCCCACTGCTAATTAATCTGGCATCGCTATGTGGCAATTAAAACGGTACAAGTTGTTCAACAGGAAAGATTGACATATGGATCGAGTATGCACCCAATTTAGATTTCATTACTCCACGTGCGTCCACGAAGTACTTCAAAAAACAAAAGTAGATGTACTTTGAATTAATTCCACGTCAAAGACTCTCCCATGGAAAAAAAAAATTAATAATAATTTCACTAAATCAAATTAACGAAAGCGAAGTAATTTTTATTCCGAGACTATTAAAAGTGTAGTCAGTCCACAAAAGAACTGTAGTAAAACAAGTAAAATTGCATACTTGAGTGCTTGAACATTTAGAATACACAAAAAGCTCGCCTTAGCCCAACAATAACTCAACATGTTATACCACTCGAAAACGATTCACAATATCGCGATGAAGGGAAAAAAGTGTGGTATATAGATAATAAATATAAACATAAGCAATGCAGCTTGCTCACAAAAACAATAACAAAAACAATCCGAATATCCTCACTAAGCTAAAGGGGATTCGTGGGAGCTGAGCTATGTAAATAGTTTGAAATGCGACAAATATCCAGGGCACTGCTGGGAGAACTCTGACTTTGTTTCAAAGTAACTTCCTTCACTGGCAGTTTATACAAGTAAACTGAACACACACAAAAAAATAAATTTACTCGAGGATCAAGCTTCTGGTTTCTGCTTCACTGGCCTCAGCTTCGATGTCTATTTCTTTCTCAGATTCGACCTCATCAAACTCAACTAAAACCTCTTCCTCGCATTCCACGCCAATCTCCTCTTGAGATCCCACTTCGACCTCCTCCTCAGTTCTGACTTCAGTCTCCTCCTCAGATCCAACAACAATCTTCTCTTCAGATTCCTC